GATAAAATTAAAAGTATTTATAATTAGATTATCAAAAGAGGAATATGGCAATAGTTGAAGGAGTAAATTAAGATGTTATTTACCCAAAAGTCTAAAATTGAAACTAAAGCTACAATTAAAGAAGTCTAAAAAGATTAGGGAAAAAGTACACAAATGGTCCCTTAATTATAGGACACTATTTTAATGAGTCCTTAAATTATTAAAAATTATAAAATAATTTTCCAATTGTAAAGTGTTGTTTGTTGAGTCTCATGACTATAAAAAAGTTACAAAATGCTTACTTGACTATTCATATGTTATAAACTCGTCATTTTTCATTAAAAATTAACGGTCGTTTGAACTGAACGTTAACTTATTGTCTAAGATACAATAAAAATTATATTTTAATTACGTTTACTGTTTTTTATCAATATGTGGTAAGTACAAAATAATATCTATTTAAAGAACACTTTCAACTATTTGATATTAAACATTTGAACCCCTGACATTCATGGTACTCGAACCCGAAACCTCAAAGAATAACAATAATTCATTTACCACGTTTGGTTCATGTTTGATATCCAAAGATAAATGACTAATATTTTAAAAAAATATTTTTGATAAAAACAGGATGTTGGATAATTGGATATTTGAATTTACATGCTTATATATTTGGTTTGATTTTCACTTTCATTTTGAGCTTAATGTTTATTTTTGCATCATTTACATATTAGTTGCATTATGACCAATTTTTGTCATTTCACATTGTTTATGAATATTGGATTATGGAACTAATGGCTAATTTTTCTCTTGATTATGATCTTAGCAGCTTACGCTATATTTAGTTATCAATTGGCTAATTGTTTTTCAAAAACTTGTTTAAAATATTTTAAAGGTCTTTTTGATTTAACAAAAAGGGGGAGAAATATTAAAGTGTTTTAAAGAGGAGAAGTGTTAGAGTAAGGGGGAGTAATTTCAAAACTTTATTCCAAAATCTTAAAATTATTAAAATGTTTTGTTATATCACAAAGGGGGAGATTGTTGAATACATTTTGATATTTCGATATAACAAATTAAGATAAATAAATTTTAAGATTTTCCTAAAGATTTTCTAAGTATATTCGATATAATTATTCGAATATCAAAATATTACTCCAAATCTTTCAAAAGTCATTTTTAATCCTTACTCAAGTGTAAAATTAAGTTTTAATCTTAAAATAATTTCAAAATAAATTTACAAAATATTTCGAACCATTTCAAAGCCAAAAATTCAAGATTGCTCAGAGGGAACCGATTTCCCCCCCCCAAGGGAGTACCGATTCCCCCCTGAATAGGTTTGGCTCCGAGAATTCTAGTATGCTCGGAGGGAACCGATTCCCCCAGGGGTACCGATTCCCCCTGTTCAACGGTCGAAATATTTGAATTTTACACTTAGGGAACCGATTCCCCATGAGGGGTACCGATTCCCCCCACGCTCCAAGCTGTTGTATTAATGGTTTTCACACTTAAACGGCTCCATTGACTCCACTAATCATCCCCAACGTTCAGAATCAATTGAGGGAGTATTTAAACAAGTTTTGAAGCCTTTGATCAATATGAAATCATAGAGAAACAAGAAAGAAAGCATCAAACATCAAGTTTGTGCAAATCAAGCCAATTTTCCTTTCAATATTCATTTTGCTTTCAAGAACACCATTTGTGCTCATTTGTAATTATTTTTTAGTGTTCTTTTCTTGTTCTAGAATTGTGCAAACATCTTACCTTGTGAGGTTTTCCTTGTAAGTTTGCAAATTTGTGTATTTCTCTTTGAAAAAGAGTGTGCTCAAGAATTTGGGATATAATTCTTGAGGGAGTTGTAAGGTTACTCTTTGTCCTCAAAAGAAAGAACAAATTAGTGAATTTGTTGGAAAATCCTTAGTGTGGATAGCTAAGGTAGTGGACGTAGACTTTGGTTGAGAAAGTCGAACCACTCTAAATCGCTGCGCAATTCCCAACACAACCGAGAAGATGGCTTCCACCTCCGGCTCGTTCCACATGGAAGACTCCCTACCAACGAACAAGCCTCCATACTTCAATGGAGACAACTATCGTCATTGGAAGAAATTAATGAATGTATTCATCCAATCCAATGATCTTGATGCATGGGAGATAATCGAGAACGGCTACTCTTCTCCAAAGAAGAATGAGAAGAAGATGAGTGACAAAGAACGGAAGAAAGCTCAACTTAATGCCAAGGCCATGCACATGCTGTTTTGTGCATTTGGTCATGAAATCTATGAAGGGGTTTCTTCATGTTCAAATGCCAAGGAGCTTTGGAATAAGCTTGAGGAAATCCATGGAAACAAGAAAGAAGAACCAACAAAGGTGGTGTCTCTAATGGCTCGTGAAGAGCCCGAGGTATCTTCTAACTCAAATGAATTTAATTCATATACGTTTAATGAGTTACAAGATGCTTTTAATAGGTTATATTCGAAGTTTGAGACCATGAACTCCAAATATAAGAAAATGATTTCAAAATTTAAAATCGAAAATGATTTTCTTTTGAAAACAAAAATAGATTTTGAAATCCAAAATGATATTTTGAAAAAGGATTTAGAGCTTTCAAAAATAAAAATTGAAAGTGTTGAAAAAGAAAATTTTGATTTAAAAGTTAAGCTTGAATGCTTAACAAAAGAAAAAGAAATCATTTTAAATAATTTATTTAGTTCAATAATGACAATATGCTCACATTGTCATTATCATGGTCATAAGGAACATACTTGTCATTTGAAGAAAAGAAATCGTTTTAAAATTAGACAAGTATGTATTCCAAAAGGAACAAGGGACATTGAACCTAACGTCCAAGGATCCAAAGCAATTTGGATACCAAAATCAAAATAAATATCTCTTGTAGGTGTGTGGGAGCAATGGTGATGAAAGTGATGATATTCAAGATGCTCTAGCCACACATGAAAAAGGAATGGGTAACCTCTAAGCTTAATGTTTTTAATTTTGGTTGCTCATTTGATTTTAAGCATGCATGAGTTTTGGTTTTAAATGATTATGCATCATTGTTTTAATCTCATGTATGTTGAAAAGATTATTATGATGAACATTTTAAATTTATATTAATTTTTAAGAATTTTTAGTTCATCATAATTTTTTTTTGTCAAAAGTTTTAATGCAAATGATATCTCTCTAATAATTGATATCAACTTTCAAATGTTTTTGATTTTATAAATTTTAAAATTTTTGACCTAAATTTAAATGTTTATGCATGTGGTTTAAATGAAAATGATATATCTAACAATTGATATCAAAATTTTCAAATGCATAACATTTTTGGAAAACTTTATGCATATGCACTTAATTTCAATAATTGATATTGCATAAAGTATTTTAGACGTGGATGTATTGAATTTCATGTGCTACTAACATGTTTGTTATTCTTTGTTGAAATTCAATTTTATTTAAGTGTCTTGTTCTTAAAGCTAAATTTTATTTGGAATGCATTTATTGAGGAGGAGTTTTGATTTTTTTTTCAAATGATTTTTAAAATGTCAAATTTACTACTTACTCTCCAAAGTTATTTTGAACTTTAAAAGATTAGAGTCTTTTTGATTTAACAAAAAGGGGGAGAAGTGTTGAGGTGTTTTAAAGGGGAGAAGTGTTAAAGTAAGGGGGGAGTAATTTCAAACTTGAATTCAAAATCTTAAAATTACTCAAATGTTTTGTTATATCAAAAAGGGGGAGATTGTTGAAAACATTTTGATTTTTCGATATAACAAATGAATTTTAAGATTTTACAAATGATTTTCTAAGTAAATTCGATATAATTATTCGAATATAAAAATATTACTCCAAGTCTTTCAAAGTTCATTTTAATCATTACTAAAGTGTAAAATTGTATTTTATACTTAACTATTTTAAAACAATTTTACAAAGTATTTCGAGCCTTAATCGAGCCAAAAATATTTTCTTTTTAAAGGGTTTCAAGAAAAATCAGATTACCCAGGGGTACAGATTCCCCCTTAGGAGAACAGATTCCCCCCGGGGGTACCGATTCCCCACCCAGGGGAACAGATTTTCCCCCAGGGGGTACCGATTCTCCCTGTCTAACGGTCAAAAACAGATTACAATTAGGGAACCGATTCCCCATGAGGGGGTACCGATTCCCCCTACGCTCCAAGTTGTTTTATTAATTGTTTCTCATCCCCAACGACTATATACGACTTCAAATACATTCCAAGCTATAAATACAAGCTAATGACACTTGAAGATGTAAGAGAACAACTATCGAAGCAATCAAACACAAGAGAAGAGTTTTTCAATCTTATTTCATATTTCTCTTGTAAATATTTTGTTCTTGTGAGCTCAATCTTGTAAACACCTATCTTAGAGAGGTTTTCTTGTTTACATCTTTTATCATTTTGTAAAGGGAAAAAGTTCTAGCTTAGCCCGTGTAAAAGCTAGAGAAATGTTCTAGCTTAGCCCGTGTAAAAGCTAGGGAAATATTCTAGTTTAGCCCGAAAAAACTAAGGAGTTTGTAAGGTTACTCTTTATCCTCAAAAGAAAGAACAAATTAGTGAATTTATTGAAAAATCCTTGGTGAGGAGCTAAGGTAGTGGACGTAGACTTTGGTTGAGAAAGTCGAACCACTATAAATCGCTGTGCAATTCTCTATCTTTCAATCTCCTTACTCCCTAAACACAAAACCGTTCCGATTCCTCTTTACAAACCATTCCGATTGTCGATTCGAGCTTCCAAAAATCCCAACACATAAGATAAAATTTCAACTTTTAAAAACTATTTTCACCTAAAATACTTTATACTCTGCTTATTTTTTATTTTAAAAATAGATTTGAAAACAATAAAAAATGTCCTAAAACAAAGTATATTCTCAATCTATTCGAGTGCCAAAAGAGTCATTTTCAGTTACTTGTCGATCTTCTTTTCATTTTCTCCTTTAATAATTCCGTTAATAATCAAATCCATATAATCTGTTACTACAGGTTTTCTCTCATCATCGTATTTTCCTTTCTTTTCTTCCGAACGGTACCGAGAATAAGATCAAGTAGCTGTCTTTTGAGGGGGGAAATGGATCCTTGGGCAGTTCACTTGAAGAACGCAAACCCTGTGAATCCTTTTTCCTCTGCTTCTTTGTTGTCGAAGAGGAATTCGACTCCTGAAAGACTCAATTCTTTTAAGATTTCGAAATTTGGAGTCTTTCAAATCAGGGTTTCAAGGATATGCCTTCCTTCATCTGCCCATCGTTCTTTCACCGTTAAATCTATGGCCAAGAACAGTAATCACGACAATTCATCTTCCTCTTCCTCATCTTCCGGTATGCCTCACTTTCCCTTTTTTTCTCATGCAAATTTAGGAAAAATCATAGCTTTTGGCCTTGTTTTAATTTCTTTTTTCAGTAATTAATTTTGTGGATAATTTGTAATTTATATCTTTGGGTTTTTCAACCCACTTGTTGAACACTTGAAAGTGTTTAAGGATGATTAGTTCAAATACTGGATTAGTTTTGAACATTGAGGGATAATGACTGACCATTTAATTTAGTTATTGGATTAGTTATTTGATGTACTATTCTTAACTGTAGAATTGCGAATTGCTTATTGGAATTTCGATTTTCTCTAAGGGATATTTATCGTTGCCACAGGTAATGCTATTGTATTAAATTTTAAGTTATTTTAGTCTAAATGTTGGAGTTTTTCTTATTCGAACTAGGGTTTGCGGCTTTGGTACTGATTCTTGGTATATATTTTCCCTTTCAAATGACTTGAAAATGGGGAAACAATTTTATTCTTACATTGTTTTCTTTTTCCTTCATGTGTGTTTGATATGATGGATAGAAAGTAAAAGTAATGGCACCATGCTTTTATGAGTTGCGAGCCTCTTGCTGCTAGGCCAAGAGGTCGATGCCAATATTCATTCAGATTTGGTGAATGCTCTTACATCAACTTTCAAGAACATAGTTTACAAAAGGGATTTTAGGAATTGAGGGTAGCTTTGTTGTTTTGTTTCTTTGGTGATCTTTAACTTTTCCCTTAATTTTGGCCTTATACAATTCATTTAGTCCTTCATTCCTTTTTGTTCCATTAATTCATCTTGTTATTAGTATTTGGTGTACAGTATGATGCATAAATTGGCATTTCAGAGTTCTCACGGACCACAACTTGAATTTAACATAGTTTTTGAATGTTCGTGGTAATTTATCCAGGAAATGGTGATCAACCTATTCCTGATCGAGACAGTTCAAGAATAAATAAGTCTTCAGACAGCAATAAATCTGAGGATGATGCTTCTCAGAAGTCTCATGATGTAAACACGAACTGGAGAGAGTTCAGAGCAATGCTATATAATAACTACCAGGTGGCGTTTTTCCGTCCCTTATTTGTGTACATGCTGCTTCTCCAATATTTGAGGGGTAAAATTTATGTTACTTGCGCTCGGGTGTGTTCCAAACATGGGTATGGTAAACGTTTTCTAAGTGTTTTATGATTATTATTATTTGGAAGATCTTTGGAGATGATATCTTTATATCTATATGTCGGGCAAAAGTCTTTCTCTTAGTGTTTCTACTTTCTAAGAAACAAATTAGTTTAGTCAAGATGTGTACCTTAGTATGCAGCCGAAATCAAATGAACCCCTTGTGCTTATTCTAACTGTATAAAATTTTAATTATTTAATGTTTTATTATGTTGTCTGACTCTATTTTTATTGAAGTACTTGTGTTCAGAATTCGTATCCGACACATGGATATGGAGATATGACTACAAAAGATCCCTTCAAACACAAAAGTTTTTTAAAAAATCTGACAAGTACCCATGTTGTAGACAAACCCATACCAATATTCGCACCTAAATCTAGTAACATAGGTTTTGGTGCCTTTAACGAAGATGATACAGATGTAGTTTAATTTCTCAAACTTGAAGTTGAATCCGGTCATATTGGTAACACTTTTTGTTGTCTTTTATCACATGCTGCATTTGGAAGCAAAATCTGTATACTTTCTGGGGTTATTATTAGTTCTTTTCAATGCCAGTTGACCTTTTTATGTAAATGACAAGCATTGCAAGCGATGTGTAGAAAATTTGGAATTTGTGCTCTATAGAAACATTTAACTTATGTATATCTTTTAACAGGAAGAAAAGGCAGATTCCGATGGTCAAGGTGAGACACCTCATGTGTCGAAACCTCTTTGCCTGAAATGGGCACACCCACTTTCAGTGCCTGATTGCTACTGAGAAGCTTGATGGAGTTCGCTCGTTTGAACGAACGGTAGTTCTCCTTCTGAGATCAGGAACCAGACATCCACAAGAAGGGCCATTTGGAGTTGTTATTAATCGTCCACTTCACAAGAAGATCAAACACATGAAACCCACTAATAATGTATTAGCCACTACCTTTACCGATTGTTCCCTGCACTTTGGGGGGCCTCTTGAAGCAAGTGTGTTTCTTGTAAATGTGGGAAAGAAGTCGAAGCTTCCTGGGTTTGAAGAGGTGATTCCTGGCCTCTGTTTCGGTGCTCGAAATAGTTTGGAGGAAGCTGCCGAGCTGGTGAAGAGAGGAACACTCAAGTCTCAGGATTTTAAGTTCTTTGTCGGGTATGCTGGATGGCAGTTGGATCAGTTGAGAGAGGAAATTGAGTCGGATTATTGGCACGTGGCCGCATGCAGCCCAAATCTGATTTTTGGAGATTCATCGGACACTTGGTCAGAAAATTTGTGGAAGGAGATTTTGCAGAAAATGGGTGGACCCTACTTAGAATTAAGCAGGAAGCCTAAGCAAGATATATAGGGTAGGGTATCTAACAGGTAATGTCCCAATGGATGTAGAATTAAGAAGTTGAATCTTGAATCTTGATGTGTAGGTAATGAAACCATATGTACAGATTATTAACTGCCTTTTTTAGTCAATTGATCTTCATTCTCCTTTCCTTCTCCTGTTCAGTGATAGAAAAAACTGCACCAAACCGGGTGGTTGAACCGGTGCAATCAGAAACTGGTGGCTCACCGGGAAACTAATGATCTTCATTCTACTTTTTTTTTCCTCTGGTTTTTTTCCTGAGGTACTTCTAGGGTAAGGAACGTAGAATAAGGTAAGGCTGGTTATGGGAAAGTTCTATCAAATTACATAAATTGTCACAATTTTAATAATATTTTGTGTAATTTACTCAATATTACGAATTGGGTAGTATTGTGTAATATAAACATTTGAGTATTACACAAAATGTTAATAAATCTTTGATCCTGAATTCATGAAATCTGAAGGCATATTGAGGGAAAAAATACTATGTTGAGAAGTTTGTAGAGCATTACGAGATTCTCAAGGTGCTGGTCGACAGGAACGTGAGAGGAATTTGCAGATGATTTCATGGATACCTCCGTTGGATGATTGGGATAAATTGAATACCGACGGGTTTGGTTACTTCTGGTGGTGTATTACAAAACAGTCATGGAGATTGGATGTGCATCAGCTTTGAGGAGTGTATGACGGGCTGGCTGTGGCCAGTATGCAGAGTGCTATCATTGAAACTGATTCAGTTGAAGTGGTGAATTTGCTTACATAAAGCAGTGCAGAAGGTGATGCAAATGCGCAGGTCCGATCGGTTTCAATGAAATCTGAAGCCATATTGGGGAAAAAATACTATGTTGAGAAGTTTGTAGAGCATTACGAGATTCTCAAGGTGCTGGTAGACAGGAACGTGAAAGGAATTTGCAGACGATCAGTTCTAGGATGGCTAAACATGGAATGGGAGGTTTCTGTTGGACACACGCATTGTGAAGGGAATGGAGCAGCTGACAGGATAGCTGTGGCGGCTAAGCAAGTTGATCTGGATCTACAGGTATTTGGTCTGCTTCCAGCGGAAGTGCTTCAGGTACTGCATGATGATGCAGTCCAACAGTTTGCTTTGTAATGCAGTTCAGCTTACCCCCGTGGGCAAAGGATCAGGACTCGTCTGCCATATCCGTGGACTACTGGCAAGAGTGGGAGATCCGGCTGTCTTACGTGCCGTGTGAGGGTAAACGCAGCCAGCTAATTTTATGGCTGGGCTTGGCAGAAACCAACCGACTGGCTTCACTGCGGTGGATCGCCGTTCTCAAGGGTTGCGGCATCTTATTTACATGGATGGCTTAGGGATTCATGCACGTATGGCGTTCTAGTCCTTAGCCTAATTTTAACTACTAGTAACCAAAACAAAAGGAAAAGAAAATTGGTTCCAAAGAAAATTAAATTTGTATTTTATTAAAATTATTATTATTAAAAGATAAAACTAGACTTTTGAATCATTCATACATTAAACACCATATCATTAAATTAAATATATATCTTTATTACTTAAATAGTAATATTTATTTAATATTAAAATTATACATTAAATATTTAATTTACATTTTAATTGACTAATTTAATCAATGGAGTTTAATAAAGTTGATTCAAAAATCACATCGAGTTAATTTTTAGTTTTTATCTAATTGTCACCTTTCAATCCTACCTTTTCTAATATTTTGTCATCATTAACTAAAAAAATAATTGACACTGAAAGTATAATTACATTTGTCCTATACATAGAAATTTTTAGGGACCAAAATTGAATTATAAATATTTGTAGAAGTAAAAAAGTAATTCTATCATTGTATTAGCTTGTAACATTACAATTTTTAGAATTAAATTGGAATTTTATCATTCTAAGGGATCAAAATACAATTTTATCATTCTATGGGGTTAAAATACAACTTATTATGTCCTAATTTTTAAAGGGACTAACGAAAATTTTTCCCATTTGGAGAGTGAAAATGGTAGAGATGCATATATACATACACATTCATATAAAGAGAATTAACAAAAAGAAATGCTGAAAGAGGATTCTATCTTTAACTTTTTGATCAAAAGCAAATTCCTACTATACAAAGCAAATTCCTGCCTCACCTCATGCAATCGCAACGCAAGTAACCAAACCAACTAAATCAACCCTATCAACATTTCATGAAAATTTGACGTCTCATGACTCCAATTCAATGTAACATCTCGATCTCGTCATGTTTTGGGATTTCGGACGATGAACAAATAAGTTCACAGGGTTGCAACTTGGCATTTCGAAGCGAAAATAGTATCAGAGAGCTCTCAAAGCAAGCTTCTGTCTAGGAGGAGAGCTCTCGGAGCAAGCTTCTGACAAGGAGACAAGCAAAGAGCATATGGTCTTTACGATGTATTCACTATGATGGAGTTGAGTTGTACGTTGCAACGTTTTACTGCTTTCCTCACTTCTCAATGCGTGCTTTTCGTACAGCCTCCTGGATTTGCCTTTCATGCTCTTTAAGCATATCTTCGATGTTTCCCCCAGGAGGCACCAGTGGTCCAGAACAGTGGATCCTGTTTTTCTTCGGTACATATACCTGCAATAGATTGCAAACATATCGAACATTATAAAACGATGCACAGTGATGACATGATACGAGTCTTGGAGTTGACAAGAACCACTTCTACTCAAAACTCGACATTTAACATCCTGATATTGCATATACTCGTTCAAAAAGGTCAGAAACTTGAATAGACTACTATACAAGAATTTGAGTTCATCAGCACAGAACTTCTCAATCAGAACTCAGGTTGTGTATATAACTAATTCTTCTCTCTAAGGTTATGTATATATGTGTGTCTGTGTGAGAGTTGCTCCCCCATGTTAGACAATTCCATATCCATATAGGAAGTTGCACTCATGTCAAAGTAACATAGGTATGTAAGATGACCCGATGATCTGACCTTAGAATGATACGATGATGATAACATGAGAAGTTAAATGAAAAGTAGTTGGAAATAGTTGGTTTATTTACCGATGCTTGATCTTTGTTTGATGCTCCATCATCTTGCTTATAGGAAGTGTTAACTGCCTGAGGCTTCATTGAATTCTGTTTCCTAAAGTTTCTGGTGTTTCTCGTACAACCTGCCTTGTTCAATAACTCTACTGCACTAGGATGGATCATCGAAGAGGAATGAGAAAAGCCATTTTGCGAGGCGACCTTGCAAGGATCGATTCTAATGGCCGAGGCACTAGGATGGTCGTATTTAAGAGTGGTGCCTGGTTTTGATTGCCCCTGAGCGATTAATTCAGGTAAACGAACCGATTCAGCTCCTCTTCCCTTGACAGCCTCTTCTCTTTTCCTGAAGTTACATGAGAGAATAAAGGTTTAAAAGATGGATACAAAAAATCCTCAAAACCTCATAAAATAAAATAGTAGAAGAAGAAGACATGACTACTTAGCAAAGCCTGGGTTTATGTAGGAATAGGTTAAAAAAGGTTGAAAAAGACAAACCTTATTGCTTCCTCATTACGAAGTTTGGCATCTTGTTCCTTGCTTGGAGGATATTTTGGCAGATCTGATGGATTGCAGGGGAAAGGCTCCGTTGTAAAGAACTGATGATTCAACCATAGGTCCAACAATATGACAGAAGGATGTTAAAATTCAAATAAAACCGGAAATTTTGTGTTTCAAGAAGTGAAGAAAAAAATACTGAACAACAACAAAAAAGCATTTAGATGGTTGTCCAAATACCTCACTTCTAAGTGCTGAAGTAGCGGATCCTCGAACATCTGGTTTCAGTGAGAGGAGTTTATCAACAAGAGACAAGGCAGACTGCGGGAAGCTTCTGAAAGTATCGGATACACATCGTTTGTAAGGTTGTTGAGGTTTAAAACTAGTTGCATGCGGAAGTCTCGTTTTCTGCCAATACTCTTCGGAGGGTGAGCCGCATAGTTTAAAGATCTTATGCATTTGCTCCACCTGGAGTAATCAGAAATGAAAGAACTTAGAAAAAAATTGTACATACACATATCTAACATACATGTCGAAGTTCGAGTAACATAGTGTTAGCATGCTTCTTCAGAATAACAAAGCAAAATGAAAGTGCATTTGGAAGAATATGCAGAATCAGCCATGCAGTCATATTCCAACACATAAAGAGAGACTACCTCTGTTCTTCCGGGCATAATCGGTTTCCCAGCAAATAATTCAGCAAGGATGCAACCCACACTCCACAAATCTATTGCAACTCCATATTGAGTGGCCCCAAGCAAAAGCTCGGGTGCACGGTACCAAAGAGTTACAACACGGCTTGTCAGTGGCTGCTTTTGGTCAGGTTTAAACAATGTAGCTAAACCAAAATCTGCAATCTTAAGAACTCCATTGTTGTCGATCAGAAGATTGGAGCCCTTTATGTCTCGGTGCAGAACACCACGGCTATGACAGTGTTCAAGGCCACGAAACAGCTGCTGCATGTAACATTTTATCTACAAAAAAATTGCATATGCCACTTATAAGACCAAAAGGAGATATATCATGAGCAAGGTATCTTATTGCAATAGACAAACATGTACCTGCTGTTCGGTGAACTTGATGCCAGGAGTTGCTGCAAGCCCTGCAAGATCATGGTCCATGTACTCGAAGACAAGGTACAAGCTGCTCGACATCCTTGAAGTGACTATACACACAAGCTTCATAACATTCGGATGGTCAAGCCTCCGTAAAATGATGATTTCCCTAGCCATGAAGCGGACACTTTCAGGATCCATATTAACGAACCGGACCTTCTTCATGGCAACTATTTTGCCAGTTTCTAGGTCACGAGCCTTGTATACACTACTGTAAGTTCCTTGACCAACCTGCATATACAAAATACTATGTCGGTATGTTAAAAAAACACTCATGAAAAGAATTTTGTTGCACATAACAAAAGATAAGCCAAAACATGTTCTCCAACAGCGATGAATGACGACCTAAAAACAATTTGCAGAAACAAAGATGATTTGAAACATACAAAATAAAGTTTTTTTCAAAAATACTGAAGCTATTCCAATATCATAAATTGTTCGTATCGAACACATACTCAAATGACACTCATACAAGTCCGAGTAATATTGCAAAAACTTGCTAGCAATGTAACTTTGACCCATTAACCAGAGAATTTCCCAGTTCAACTATTCAACATATTTACCACTTTTAAAGTGATGGTTAATCAAATTATTCATGCCTGCTCCATGTGCAAACTTTACCTTATTTTCATCTTTCATAAGTTTAAATATTATTGCATATCAACGCCTTTCAAATGAAGGATCATGCTTATTGGAAGAAACCAAATTGAATTTAAGAAAAAGCCAAAAAAAGAAAGAAAGTTAAAACTGGTTTTAGAGAAAGTAAAAGAAAGCATCCGTGAGATGTAATAACCTTCTCTAACTTGTCAAAAGATTCGACTCGCCGAGGCAGCCATCCCCTAACAGCTTCTCCGGCAACTGAAACCAACCAAGAAGGCCACCCGGCAGCCACTAGTTCGGCGTCGGGCCGAGCAGGAGAGCAAGCTGTATCTACTGAAACAGGACCAGCTTTGGATGGTTGACGTAGGGAGGCAAGTCGAGCAACTAAAAGATCATCATTCTTCGTAGGTGTAGGAGCAATCAATTGCACTGATCCCTTGTCGCTGTCGCCCTTGAAATCTCCATCTTTCTCATTGTCATGGTCGTCAACACTCTCATCTTGGCCTCCTTTCGAGCAGATGCAGCCCATAATCCCTCCCAAACAATCCCGTGTTTTGGAATAGCTGTGCCTCGAATACGTTTGTATAAAATATAAAATCCCTCTTCTAACCATGCATTAAGCAACAGGGAAACCCAAAAGAAATCTTGGGATTCCCATGTCCGCCATTGTTGCCGAATTCCAACTTCACGATAGCATCGTTTCTCAACCGATTTCGGTCCCACACGGCATTTAAAACCGTCCGTTTGAGAACCAAAATCTTCCTTCTCCTTCTATAGGAAACGCACAGATTGTGAAAGTACGTCAACAATCAACCAATTAAAATCCGAGTAAATTAGAGAACGATCAGAATGATTAAACAAACAAACAAAAATTGAAGGATGATGCAGAAACAAACTAGCGAGGAAAAGGAATGAAAACCCAAATCAACATTCTCACAAAATAAAAACTATATTAAGAAAAATAAATAAATGGTGGAATAACAGCAAGGAAAGTTTTAGTTTTGGCTAGAGAACATAAAATAATAGAAAATTGAAAGACAGCGGAGACATTATATAAAAAGAAGAAGAACAACAACAGAAGTGGAAGCGGAATTGAAATGGAAGAGATTTATTGAGTTTAGTTCCTAAAATTACGAGAAACCAAAGATTTACATGGACATGACAGACAGACAACAGACATGACAGTAGTGTAGAATCTCATTGTTACTTATCTATTTTCGATTTTCACCTTGTTAAAATATAATTTTCCTACTCATAAGTTCTTTGTCTGAATTTAAAAAAAAATATTTAATAATAATAATAATTTAATAAATCCAGATATAATATTAAAAACGAGCTTAATTTTTATTTTTATTATTTTTATTTTTAAAATATAATATTTTTCCAAATCTCTCTAATAAAAATAGAAATTTAAGTTTGGTAGATCAATATTTGAAAAAATATGTTCGGGTTTAAATTAAAATTAATATTTAAATTCATAGTAAATTTGAATCATATTAGTAAATAATTTAAGTTTGAAATATTTTGTTTTTAATGAAATTATTAGATTTTTTTATTATAATGGTAATTATGTTGTTGGTGTAAATATAAAAACTATTTTTTTAATTCTATGAAATAAAACAAAAGGGAGGGGGAAACAGATGAAGGAAATCTTCAAACGGTTGAGAAAACTCCAGACGTGCAGTGCAGTATGTGTGGCGGTGGGTCCATGCGATATCACAAACAAAGGTTGACACGTGGGCATTCTTTTATGGAGATTGACTCCCGCTTTCTCCAATGAATATGATTGCCGCCAAATTGTACCATATAACGAAGGTTGTATAAAAATCATGGATAAAGCAACATCTAGTCCTTAAACTTAACAAATCTTCCAATTTGGTTCCTCAACTTATTTTGGTCCACATTTGTCCTTGAACTTGGGATTTTAATTTGGTGACAACTTTAAATTTGATTTAATATATATTATTTATCAAAGAATCAATAAAAAATTAATAATTTTTTCTTCTACTTTTTTAATTATATTTTAATATAATATTTATATTATCTCGACCCTTTTTCACCCATAAAACAAAGGATATTGAACATTTAATATTGTTCAATCTTATATTCTATTATGTAATATACTAATAGTTGTTTTTAACTAAAAAGACACAACCCTTAGTTTTGTATTTATCTCTACTAACACTAAACCTCTATTACATCAACAACGTTCAAGTAATTTATAGTTCAAAAACAATTCAAATTTTAAAAATATTATTTATTTATTTTTTTAAGTTTTTAATGAGATAAGAAGAAAGTTTGTTTATTTTCTTAAATTGAATTATTTATTATCGATGATAATGATTATTTTTTTATCACGAACATTCTTTGAAAAGTTGAACGATAATTCACAAAATGTACTTTACATTTATGAATTCGTTTATAACTAAAATAAGTCCTTTTATATTAAAAAGGGAGAGTTTAAATTATTTACTACTTAACTAATTGCGAAGGCTCGCCCCGTTACATCAACTAACAGTAACTGAACAATTCTTTAAATCGACTCCATGTCAATAAATTTCCAATTCTAACTTGAATTTGAGTTCAGTTGTATAATTACATATATTATACAAAAAGTTAAATAATTATTGTTTTTAATTTAATAGAGATATTGTATTAAATTCGGCTAAACTCGTCATTGCATGCCACTCGCAGAATGAATGAATTATTATTTTTAACTTTTTTTTTTTAAAAAAAAAGATATGAAGTTATTTGATATATCACTTATCTATACCTACTAATTGAGAATCTAGTTAGATAATATGTGAATTAAGCTTTGCATAATGCACTCAACATTAGGCTTACATGAAATGCAGTAAAATTATATGCGTTTATTTTCTTTATAGAAATAAAAAAATTAAAGTGTTGAAATCATATTTATATTAGTTATATATTTAAACACTTTTAACAAATTATTATTTTTATTAATGAGAAAACACAAAAATAATTAAAACATATAAAAGAATTTATATAATGAAATTTAAATTAAAATAAAATCTAAAAATAATTAATATAATAACCTATATAATACAAAACTAAAATTATCCAATCCAGTCCTCAGCCAAAGAAGAAGAAAAAACGACTCCTCCTTCGCCTTTGTCTTTTTTTGGTCAGGAGCACCTTCCAATTGTCACGAAAGTGGCTAAGCAAGCGTGCCACGCCCCTACACGTGTTTTCCTCTTCCCAAACCTCACTGCGTTAACGGCTGCAAAAAATATATCGATTTCTTTGAGGCATTTTATCAGTCATTTCTTCTTCATATTGAGAGATCACTGATGATGGATTTAGTAAACTCGTTTCTCAACTTAGTGGTTCCCTTCCCCCCTGCCACCATGATGATGCTGGCCTTTTCATGGCCAGCCTTGTGCTTTATCAATGCATGCGAATGGCTTTACAACACCTTAAATACTACATAGAATATGGACGACAAAGTGGTTATAATCACCGGTGCTTCTTCTGGTATTGGAGAGGTAATATTTACCATTATATTCACGTACATCATATTCGTCGAGCTTTGAATAATTTAGAAGTGTTTACCGGTTGCTTGATTTAAAAAAATCTTTAAATTGTTAAATATATTGATAGAATGATATTATTGATTGATCCGATAGAAATATCAGATCGATTTAAAACTTTTACTCGAATGAAGAGTATAACTATATTGAGAAATTATGCAACTATTTTAATTTTGTATTGGAGACGGATATATGATTTTATGTTTGAGAACAAATTTCTAAGTTTTTAGTAAGGACAAATTATAAAATTTTATCAATAAAAAATATATAAAAGAAAAAAATCTGAAATATATGATAATATGAAATTTTAAAGTCGGCTAGGGCCCATCCATGTTTTGTACTATTGTTTCTATAGATACACACACCAGTATCACCAATCTTTTTAAATCCAATGTCATGAAGTATTGTGTTGTTGTAAATTGTTTATGAATATTGCAGCAAATTGCATAGGATATGCATAGAGGAGGGCAAATCTTGTGTTGGTTGCGAGAGAACAACGGCTTCGAGCGGTAAGCGAGAAAGCTAGATATATAGGTGCAAACTGCGCCATTGTAATTGCTGCAGATGTTGTTAAGGAAGATGATTGTAGGAGATTTGTTAATGAAACTATAAACTTTTATGGGCGTGGTATCCTTAGTCTCGGTTTTCAATGAGAGACTATGACTCAGTATAGCATTAAACACATCTTTTTGCAATTGTTTGCAAACATTTGTCTGATAAATATCCATACTTTTTTTGTTGTTCTTATAAGTAATATATCAACTGTTAAGTATCTGAATGTTCCTAGCCATGCTATTAGGATGTACGTTCATTAACTACATCAAGCTCAAATCATTTTGCTATCCGCTGGTATTTTTTTTTTCTGATAATCGATCTTGCAGTGGATCATCTGGTGAACGTGACAAGTTTGGGACATACATTCTACTTTGACGAAGTTATGGACACCTCAGTGTTTCCCATTTTGTTGGTAAGCCTCGAAAAGCTGGCCTAGTGTAATATAGAGGAGATTCTTTTTGCCCCTCAACTGTTTTTTAGTTTCTTTCTGCAGGATTTGTTGGTTTGTTAATTTTCAGGACAAACTTTTGGGGAAATGTTTATCCGACGTTCGTTGCTCTTCCGTACCTACAGCAGACTAACGGTCGAATCATTGTGAACTCTTCGTTGGAGAACTGCTTACCGCTGCCAAGAATGAGTTTGTATGCCGAGTATATATTACTTTACTATGGCATCATCATCACATGCAAATACCTAGATTCTAGTGATTTCACTGGCTTAATAGATAGAGCTAATTGTAATTCTAATCAGTCCAATACACGTGAACCTGAACCTGACCCTGACCCTGTATTCAGTAATAATGTGCACCAACATGAGCACCTGAGTTGATTTTGCTCTTGATTTGAACAATGACACTTCGATTTTCCTGAACTATTAAGTTTCTTTTTGTGCAGAAAGATATATAAAATAATTAATGTATTAGTTTAACTCTTAGCATCGAATAATTGTTTCCTTTTATATGTATGACCCTGATGCTTCCTTCGTGTTTGTTTTAGGCTGCAAGAGCTGCTCTCGTGAATTTTTACTACACTCTCAATCTCGAAGTGAATCATGAGGTTGGCATAACGATGCAACACATGGATGGATCGGAGGCGAAAAGACGAGAGGAAAATTTATGCTCAAAGAGGGAGCTGAGATGCAATGGAAGGAAGAACGAGAAGTATCAATTAAATAGCAATACTTCTGGAAGTTTTCATGATATCAAGGTCTTCCATAGGATGTGATCACATAATTTGGATTTCCATTAAGGCATTGTGATCACAGTTATCGTTATTGAGGATGCAGTCTGGTTAATGCGTTGCTTTGCATGCGTGCATTTAAATGTTAAATCGTTACAGGTACAAGCAAGTGGTGGACCTGTGGAAGAGTTTGTGAGGCTGATCGTTTCCGTGGCATGCCGGGGAGATGCATACGTGAAGTATCCGAGTTGGCACGACTCATTCCTCCTCTTTAGGGTATTTGCACCCAAAATACTTGACTGGAGTTTCCGACTTCTGCTCTCACATCATGGTAAAAGAAGAACATAGATGGTGGGTGTGGTATCTGAAGGCAGCACAGTCGGGTATATGCTGACGAGCAGTTCTCCTAGGAAGCTTCCTGCCGGTCCATCAATCCAGCAGAAGAGTGAGTAACGGTGGCAATTTTTGTTTACTTCAACA